ATGCTTTCATTTTGGTCTTTCCAAGCCTTTCGTTACAATATAAAACAAGAAAAATGAGCATTGTTGCATGCATGTTGGGAGCAATATCTGTTAATACAGTCTTAAAATACTAATGTGACGCAATAGGTGGAGAAACTGAGAAGAATTTAGTTTCCAATAATTCACCAAATAAAAATAACAAAATAGACGAATTATGAACCTTTATATAGAGGGAATTGTAACTTGTTAGGAAAAAAAATAGTCTAGCTAATGCTTAAAACTATAAACACAACTAGAATTATAATCTACACCTAATAATGCTTAAAGTAAAGCTGTACAGATGAAACAGCCCAGCTCAAGTGAATGGTTTTTTTTAATGAGCATCATATCATAAAATATCTATATTTTAATGAGTGTCATATCATAAATACCGCTTTGTACCGTTGTGTACCACCGGTCTCTGCCTCGCCATCTAACAAATAGAATGTTAATAGTATATTCCTTTCAAGATGACATTGCATACCATTAAATGCATTCTCCAACCTCCTCAACCAGTCCTCTATATTTATGGGTTCAACAGTACTCTCAAACTTTGGAGGTCTTAATCGCAGAAACATCGGTCTGTAAATGTCTATCTACCTCATTAGATCTCACAGTAAGAGACCTGCTTCGTGCCTCATCTATCATCTAGGCTATTAGACTAGTAAACTATAAAACTATATTATAACCCACAGTCGGAGTAGTACTATATACAGGAGTTATCTGAATGCCACTCTGCTCATCTATCATATATTGGTTGTCGGATCCATAACATATATAATATGCAACTGAGCATACATGAACATGAAATGAATAATAATAAACACCAAAACATATTCAAAATGGCCTCACTTGACTTAAAAATTAATTCTTATAGCTCTGTTTTACGATTCATTCCAAAATTATTGCTTTGATACTACAAAAGCTTGTTAAAACCCAACATGACCAGGACAAGTCTTTCGTGCTGAGTTGTAATAGGAAAATCCCAAGATCTAATTTTGAAATGTTTAGATTCTATTTCAATATTCATTTTTAATAAACTACATAGCTATTAGACATCCACATACTAAAAAAAACATCCATAAGATTTCTTTTATTTTATCAAAATGTTTCTATACTATAGTTCATTGTTATATATAGAAGCTACATAACTGAATAATAAGCTATTCATGACTGTAAAAAAATCAAAATAGAGAAATACTTATAAACTTATGAAACTTAGATCTGATCATGAATTACTAATCAATAATATCATTCCCTTTTTCAGATCCTAAAAACCAGAAGCAAAATCACAATGAACTACACCTTAGCAGGCCACACACACCGATCTAAAAATTTAAATTCTTTTATTAAATATTGTGTTTAATATTTAAAGGCAGTTAATGCAATCGAATAAATCACTCTACTAAAAAATATATTAAGAGCATAACAATCATCTAATTATTTAAATAACAATACTAAGAAGATAAATAAATTGCAATTTATATCATAGAGTAATTCTTATCACATTTTCTTTAACCAAATAGAATTTCAAAAGATTTTGGCCTCTTATGACTCCCTTTTATGTTTATGTTACCATAATATGACTTATAGCCACCATAATATGCCCGTAGGCACTATAATATTCTCTAATACAGACATAATCTCAAAAGATTCTAACCACTTATCTCTCACAATATATATAATTTAAGAGCATATTCATATTTGTTATCATAATCGCAGTTAAAATGTAAATGAGCATTTGTCAAAATTGTCTGATTTTCTATAATAGTATGTGACAGAAAATCCTACAAAACAAAAATGCACATTTTTAATAAATAACAAAAATTTTCAGAGATTATGTAAAATAATATTTTAAGACTTTTATTGTATTATAGAACTATTTTTTAGAATCTATATAATTTTTTATTGAATAAAAACTCACAAATTTCAAAACTCATATTATAAAGTTTCTAAAAAATATTCAAAATCTTAATCATTATAATATATAAAAACTTAGTGGATGAAAATTTGACAAGTGCAAAGTTATTCACATTTTTCGGTAATGAAACCAAGTTTTAATAAAAAAAAATTGATGAAAATTGCTTATTTTTTAAAACTAATATAGAGTTAATGTGACCCTCGAGAATAAATTTTTCAACTGGGCTGACATACACAGCTCATCTTGGCCTGTTGGTTAAGAGCTTATGCTTCAACTAAGAGGTCCTATCGAGTCTTTGTATATGCGTGGTGTGTGTGAGTTTGCCTTAATTGGCCTAAATGTCCAAAAAAAAAAACTAGGCTGACATACAAAAGTGACTATACGATCTCCAAAATCTAACTCTCTTTCTCTCTCCTCTCATTTTCTCAGTTTTTCCCTTA